TCCGCGTTGCAAAGCTTTTGCTTTGAGCTTACGACCAGCTTACAAAGTGCTTAACAATAATCACTGTCCAATTCGGGATCAGCACGAAGTGGCTCCAGAATGTCCAGGAGAAAAAGTTCCTCCTTCAGCTCTGTAAAAAAAATACGACATGCCCTAAGAGACACTAACGGAGTGGACAGAGACGAAACAGCATATAATTCCAAAAAAACACTGTACTTACATTTGACGACTGCCATTTCGTGGTGTGTGCTCTTTCGACAGGCTGTCTTGGAAGCACTACTTCGCGCTTAGAGCAGTGTTGCGCCACTGATTATATTAATGGATACTCTAGCTAAGCCGAGAATAGGAGAATGGGAACTGTTAAAGTGACCTGGAAATCAAATATAGTTTCACGTAAAGCTATGTGATAGATTAAAAATTACGTGAGCAAAAGCAAAATTGTAAGATTAACTCAGTTCTGAGGTAAGGTAGTCCACCATGTGGCTTTACGCCAACAAACTTATTGCTAGAAAAAAGTTCGCCACGTCTTTTATTCAATGCCGGTGCGATGCAAATGAGACAGTTTACTTTGTAGATATGGGAAAATCAGGAAAAAAAACTTGACGTATTCTTCAGTGACATAATTACTCCATAATATATTGGATTAGTTTCTGCTACCCCCTTGTTTACACACATACAGATTCATTAGAGCTGTAAGCTGCCAACAAGACCTTTCTTTTTCAAACTCTAGTATTTCTAAGGAAAGAACTCGTTCAAGCTTTTTATTCAAAAGAGTTTTTCAATGTTTATATCTTCATTTTTAAGCTTTGTACAGCTTTAGGGTCAAATTCAAGCGCCTTCCAGACGCTTAATTTATCAGCACTTTTTTAAACACTTTCCAGACGCTTAATTTATCATCTCCATCGTCTCCTCAGACCCTTGAAACGTCTTATTCGCATTTCACTTGCATGACACTTGCGAGTGCCTTCTGTGCCGAGCCGCAATTCGACTGCAATTTTCCTTCACAATGAACGGTAAATTTATATAATTCTTTACCAGTTCTTGTGGCGATTGAAAGGTTCACGACGGTATTTATATATTCATATGCACAAAACCGCCATAGGCCAATAGTATTCCCCATTGCGAAAAGGCCGCTATATTTATGAAATTTAGCCAAATAATCTGGTTCTGTGATTAGGAATTTTGCATCATACCGGTGCTGTTTTTTTCGAATCGTCAGATAAACAAATATTCGAATAAAGGTCTTTTTCATTTATTCGGCTATTTGTATAATCAAATAAATGCACTTTCCTAAATATTCGATTTCCTAAATCGAATAAATCATTCGAAGACGAATACTCGAAAAATGTCGGTTCTTAATAGATAGTGCGAAAGCTGCTCCTAAACAATATGATGTATTTCATGACCTTGCGCGTTGTCATGTCGAAGTACTGCAAAATTCGGTAGTCTAGATTATGAGCCAGATTAGTGACGGCACTATTTAGTCAGTCCATGAGTTGTAAGAAAATTCTGATTTTTTGTTTCTTTTTCGCATGCTTCTTCTATATAGCATAGTCTCTTAAGATAGCAAAACTCACAACACACAATGTGACAATAGCGAACTTATTGGTATGCAGTGCAGTTGAGGTGGCTTTGGTTTACAGCTTTGATGGTTTCGCGCTCCTATTTTCCGGTAAGGCCTAGAATAGCATTTGTAAGGGAGGCGGTGTACTGGCCAGATCCAAGAAAGCTATAACCTACATTTAACCTCCTGAAAAAGACGAGCGACGTCGAAATGTAGGTCGAGTGAACATCCACCAAGAAACGTGGTTTAGCACAACAATCAACTACTGACATTCATTATGACTCAATATATTTGTTACCCCCCAACATCAAGACAACAGTAAGTAGCTTTGTGAAAAATCATTTCATTCCATTCAGTGGGTTTGATTTGGATCAATAGCTGGCTTCGATTTAACTTACGCGTTTGTGGTTGCGAACTATTCTTGACCGAGCAAAATGGAAGCACATGTTGTGTAAGGCCCCGGACAGACTTCACGCGATTTGATCGTCGCTACTAAATCGCGACGAGACAACTGTTACAACGTCGTTCCATGCCGATCAACTTGCATTTCGGTTGTGATACTTCTCCAGCCCGCAATTTTCTAATGTGAAATGAAAATGAATGGAAATGTCGGCGATTGAGTAGCGATAAGGCATGTAATTTTGTTATTTTGTATTACAAAAATTTCAAAGCAATGTTTTAATCACTAATATTCAAATTTTTGTGGTAAGGTACATTAATATCGACAAAGATCATTAACACCACGGTATACAAGTGAAGTATCATTCGAAGACAAGAAATCCTCTTTAACCCGTTTCATGATTTCGCATTGCAGCAACGAGTTTGCTAGAACGCCATTGCCTAGTTCCATAACTGTTTTGTCAAAATTCGTCCGTTTCTTTCACCTACGCGTTTGTTTTTTGACCAAATTTCAACATTCTCTTTGAAGCAACTTGCTCTACATTTTATTTTTGGCTATTCTGTATCAGCACAGTGTGGAAGTATTAGGGGCAGTTAATGAACTTTTTATATAATTTCTGTTTCTTCAAATGTGGCGTATTCATTCTTTGGTGTATATGGCTTTTGACCACCAACGAGATCGGCACACGTGTTTGTGGGACGGATGGAACCAAATGAGAATTCAGCTGGGTACGGATTCCTCCCCCCCTCCCCCCCCCCCTGGAACTCAGGGATGCCACCACAGACGACTAAGGGCCGCATGCACTAACCTCCCCGCTGGGGAGGGGATCGCAGCTCAAAAGAAAGCTTTATATTTCGAAGCTCCAGATACCTACCTGGATTTCACGTTTTGTACCTATCCGTAAGTATTCCTACTACCCCTCACTATGAACATGTTAAACAGGAGCGAGAAGCTGTACGCACCCCCATTTTCCAGCTTTTGTATGATCCCTGATGATCCCCGTCGCTTTTCTTCAAAGTCATTTTTCTTTCTTCGAAATTAATGAAAACCTTCCAAAGCTGTACTGAGCATCTAACACAACTGTGTTAAGCATGTTGCTGATGAGAACAAATGAGTTTTTAAAAAGTAGAATTTTTCGGTAAACCTCAAATTTCGACCTGTGGATCATCGAAAATTTCATGACTTCAAAACATCATTTGTTCTTATCAGCAACATGCTTAGCACTGTCGTTTAGATAATCTGCACAAATTTGGAAGGTTTTCGTTAACTTCGGAGAAAGAAAAATGACTTTGAAGAAAAGCGCCGGGAATCATCAGGGATCACACAAAAGCGGAAAATGCGGCTTGTACAGCTTCTTGCTCCTGTTCAATATGTTCATAGTGAAGAGTAGTAGGAATACTTACGGATAGGTACACAACGTGAAATCAAGTATCTGGAGTTTCGAAATATAAAGCTTTCTTTTAAGCTGCGATCCCCTCCCCAGGAGGGAGGTTAATGCATGCGGCCCTAAGAAGATCGTGGATGTCCGAAGCGAGGGACAAAAATTTATTGGCAACTCTTATACTGGTCCCGCACATCATGTGAGGACGGGTAACAAGGGAAATTCACTTGGTCGAAGTGGCGATTTGGAAGGAATTATACCAGTGGATAGAGCTTGAAACGCTGATCTCAGATATACCTTCTATATCTGCGACGTTCTAAAAAAAAACTCTTCCAAAGCCAAAATTTAGTGCATTTTGAGTAGCACAATCAAGATAATTTCTGCCAAAAGTGTGCAAGCTCAAGCAAAACACCTAGTAAGCATTGTAGGTCTAATTCAAGTTCATCCGAATGTTTTCGAGTGTTTTCCGACCACGTTGTTTGTTCACAGGTCGCTATTTCCTTTCTAGATCACACTTCCATTATATATACAAAGAAAGCCCATAGCCTTCATCTAGAAGAATGCGTCGCAGATATTGCAGATATATTCGAAAACATCGTTTACGTTTTATCCACTGGTAAATTCCAAAAAGTTTCCGACGCGACGCGTTTTCTAGATGGAGTTTAGATGACGCATACACAATTGCTATACGATGCAAGGCCTACGGTGTGAGGATAGCAAGAGATAATAATCACACATATGTTTGTTGTGCGTATGGAACACAGATTTTGTTTTTCCAGGCAGATGAGGGGAGAGGACAGTGATCAAATTTTGGTTTGTCTCCCTTGAACGAGTTCAAATTATACGAACTTAAAGATGGTCTTAATGCAGTGCTTCGCACATTAGACCGTTTTCCGGATGCGTTGCGGACAATAACCTCACACTTTCTACTCCTGTTTGTTGACTTTGAGTAGCCGCGAGCTTATGAAGACGTCGTATACCAATTTCTAATATCTCGTTACTTATTTCTTTTAATTGAATAATGAAAGCCTATTGTGTTGTTGAACATTGAACATGCTTTAGTCATCATGAACGATTCAGTTGTCTAACAAACTAAATTTTCAAATTAATTTCTTATCCATAGGTCACAATGCAAAAGTGCGTGAAACGCAATTTTATTCAGATTGATCAGCGAAGTTACAATTTCTACATGCAATTCGTAGGTGAAATTATACAAAAGTAAAACAAAGTGCAAATCATCTCAAAGGCTACTGCCGGGCAAAGGTGCAGCTCCAGTTGCGCGAACGCGATTTTATGAGCCGTAGAATGCATGAAGCGCAAAGCTCACAAAAACAAGGCGCCGCGTTCGCGTCCGCTCAGTTAGCGTAGTTTTGCGCCTTGGTCTGGCAGTAGCCTTTATATGGTACCACGAAATATTTCTTAAGAGGATTTAATGATTTAGAGAATATCCGGACAGGTTTGAAGCGATTACCAGGATCAAATTATCGTAAGCGATAAATGATCAGTTTGATACGGATCTCACCGGCCAGAATTTGTATCTATCGATAGTGCTTGCTGAAGACGATACTTAGTGAAGTATAAACATGTAACAAATATGTGCTCAACAATAGAAATTATAGTTCTCAGGGCCCGGCACGGACTGGTCTAGGAGTGTCCTAAGAATCGCCCTCAACTTCGTGAAAGAACCAAAACATGCCCTGAAAGGAAGTTAAAGAAAGATGATATATCACGGCCCTACGTGCAATCGAAACATTCTTCTACTTTTCAGCTGAAGTTAATCTGTTATGCAAACACTGTTATGGTTTTGGCATCATATCATCACCTATAGTTGCAAACAAGACATTTTCTTACCAGACAATAGTAAATATTTGAACGGAAAAGTTGTTTAAGCCCTTCAGCTCTTCACACCTCTGTACTGATAATCTTACATGTTTATGCATTATACTTGAATTTGAGCACTTTCCGAGGACCAAGAGATGCGTAAGTTATTCTTTTATGTTTTTTACTTGACTTTGAGCACTTTTTTCTAACCAAGCAAGTTGTCTTTTTGGGAACCAAGAAAGTTGTAAGTTTTCGGCATCCCTTTTGCATTCTACTCACAAGACGTTTAGAAGGTGCCGAGCCTTGAGTCGACTTCTTTTTTCTGGGCTTGATGGTAAACTTATAGATTTCTCTATCGTTTCCCGTGACAAACGTCAGGTTCGCAGCTTCACTTGTGATATTCATCTGAACGAATCCACCAATGGTATCTATTCCTAACTGCGAAAGAGGCCACCATACATGCGTGTGTGGATAGCTGCAAATAATGAGCTCTATTTGGATTACGTATTCTAGACAAGGCAAAGTAAACGACGGCTTAGCAGCATCTTTAAAAGCAGCGATTCGGCAGAATGACAACTGGGATATTCGTCGTTCTCGGTTCTCCTGGATGAGCTAAGCCCAAGACTGTTCTTTGCAGCTTTTAAAGATATCAGTAGCTCGCTTTTCCGGACGTGAAAAGTGTTGTTGGGCCGGTCGCGAAAGTGGCCGCTGAAGCCAATAATCCAATTGCCGCCGAGATGAGTACGGTGTCCACTCGCGAGCCAATCGCGCTCTAGAGGGCAGGCATACGCCGTCCGCCCAAATAGCAGTTTTCATGTCTGGAAGAGGTTATTGATATATTTTGAAGCTGCAAAACACAGTCTTGGACTTAGCTCATCCAGGGAAACGACCCAAGTCCCATTATACCGAGCCGCTGCCTTTAATTCCGCGCACGCTCTAAGGTGATATATTTTGCGTCTACCTCGCGTACAAGTTGCACATATCTCGCATATTCTTGCATTAGTTTCCGGACGTTACCGCTTTGTTTCTTTGGCGTCATGGGAAGCGCCACTTGGTAAACAACGATTTGTGAATATATAAAAGCGCTGTTGAAGCGCACACACTATAGAACAAGCAAACTGGCAGGAAATGTACTTTCATCCGTGGTCATTGAAGTTGTGGTAGATAAGTACAGCCGCATGAAATAATTGTACTTCATGCACAATTTTAACGAGTATACAAGTGTGAACATGAAAAAGGCTAATGTCTTCTTTTTTCAAGAAGAGATGTGCAAGAGAGTAACAATTAACAGTTAACATAGCATCCCAAATTATCAATGATAAATATAGCTCCGATTTTGTTCCTATAGGTGAGCAGCCCGTTGAGTGTCTGTTCCCATAACAGAATTGATTTTGTTTTCACCGGCTAATCAAAATGCAAAAAGATATATCCGTCTTTTGCAAATGTTTATTTCAAAGATTTGTTCATAATTTAAGGCAATTCGCAGATTAGCAAACACGGTCAGCGGATGCCTCTATTCTTATCTATCATTCTACAATCGCCACAGGTAAAAGTGCTTTTCTTGTAAGTCTGCCTATTCTGTTGAATGTTTCTGCAACACTTTCACTTTTCTTGATATTGATTTTTGCAAAACATTCATTTTTAGGTGGTAATGGAAAATCGTCGTTTATGGCGAGCCATTGATGTCAACAGTAATAGGACGATTGTTTGTGAGAGTCAATGCAGGAATGTGCGGAATTTGTGCGCCATGAGTATGAGGAGGCGCGAACTTGAAGATTGCTTTTTAAAAGCGCGCCTGAAGATAAAGCGGTAGCCCTTTACAGCATCCTGCCCGTCCTTCTAGGTAAACGCACCGGATCCTGTACGAGTTCAGTGGAATTCTCTCATCGGTCAAATGTTTCCCTGAATAATCAGCGCGTGAGGCGGCACCAGACAGTACGTAATGGATTTCATGACCGTTTTTCATTGTTGTGTTGAAGTGCTAAATAGATGATATTATGGTAGTAAGTGATTGCTAGGGCTGCGATCAAAGTATCCAGGAAAGTCAAACGATTTTGCTAAGAAAAGCTGCGATTGTAAATATAAAATTTAAGCACGGCGCAAAGAAAAATCGCAGGCGAATTCGATATTGATTTTGAAATAGTAACATTTTCGAAAGATTTTGGAATACTTTCACTCAGTCGATAAGTCTTGCCAGAGTCTTCATGAACACAATTCAGGGATAATACAAATCGTGCTCATTTCGGATTGCGAAAAAATGGAATCGTTGGAAAGTAATTTGAAGATAAATATTTAGATCTGAAACTAGGATAACGCAAACAAGCATCTTGGTGATAAAGATCTAAGTCTAAAGCACCTAGTTGCGTTTCTCTGTGGAGAGATTTCCTGAAGAAAGTTCCTGTAAATGTTTAGCAGTGGTCACCTGAATACTGTGGTCATGTCCAGCAAAATACGCTGATACATTATACGCCTCTAGCCGAGGTTTAAGATGATCCAAAAGGCACTGGGTTGGCCCGTGTGTTGCCACGGAAAACACTGGGTAGTGCCCAGCAACAAATAAATAGTCGGCACTAAGAAAATATCCATTTATTCTTGGTTTTTATGTGTATGCAAATTTCTTACGTGCTTGAGTTTAAAGTCCTATTGATCCAGTCCCATTGCAGCTTCGCTAAGTTCGGGTTTTTTGGATACTGAATAAGAGACTAGTTATGTTTGGGAAAGCTTACCGTGGCACTATGAAGCCAGGCGAACTAACCATGGGTTCGTGTTGTGGATGAGTAAGGAGGTCAATAAAATGACCACGTTCAAAGTCGGCAGTATTTCCACAAAGCTCTACTGTATCGATAAACACCACGTCTACAGCAGTATTATTTTTACCAAATGTGAAAGATAATTTGTAGTACAGAGCAGGAAAGAGCCTGGAAGATGTCACGTTGAGTTTTTTGTGTACGTTCAGCTCAAATATTTCGAAATTCAAATTGGCACATCTCGCACCACTTTCGGCTGTATCTGGTATATTGCACTTGAGCTTCAACAGTTCCAAAGTGATCATGATTCCCTGCTATCATGTACCAAGTCACATCCAATCCTGGACCATTGTAAACGTCCTCAAAGGTAGTCTGAAGTCAAAGTAGATTCTCCTGTGTATACTACTGAAAGTAACTGCGTTATAGTTCAAGGTCATACATATTGTCTAGGTTGAACTACTCTATATTTTTTCTGCAATTGATATAGTGCCTACAAGTTGGATCTTGCAGAGGCGATCAGCACTAACTTGCTCAGACAAAAGAAGCAGGATGAAATCTGTACCACACACTGCTTTGGTTTTTACAGCAACTTTCAGTTTCACCAATCACAGCAAAATCAAAATTTGAAGGATTTTCTTTTACCGCTTTTACCTATGCAATGTGTGCGTATCAGAAGCGAGCTATATGATGTTATAGAGCGCAAGACTTCTTCTTCTTTTCGATAAATTAGTACATGCAAATCACTGAAAAATCAAGAAATTATGTACTTTGAAAAGGGTGCGACAAACATTTTCGCTCCAGCCTCATATAATTTTTTTCGGGACAACTCATTTCAACGTGACAATGTATGAATATTGTCTCATTACTCCATGTTGCAAACTCCACACTTTTCAGAGTAGAGAAAGTAGTGCTTTTAGTTACGCAAAACTTACGTTGAATCTCCAACTAGTTACTTCATTTACTCCAGTGAAATAGATGTTATCGCCAACATTGAGAACACCGTGGAGTCCCCCTATTCTTTTAGCCCACGCTTCCATGATTTCTGCGACTTGTAGCTGTGCATCTGTATAGTAAGGAGGCCAAGGTACTCCTTGAAAGAGCATAAATCACTTTGAAAAGCACGGTACCGCTGTTCCCACCTCCTATATCTCCAACTAGAAGTAATCGCAAAGTATCACTTTTTATAGTGACGTTTGTCCTGTTCTTAGCGAGGAACCATACTGAAGAAGTGTTGAGCGGTTGTTCATTCAAAACCTCGATGCTCTTAATTTGACTCGTTTTTCAATAAAAGTAAGACTGAATGATTGTAATTACTGAAGCTCCTGTGATAGACACTGCTGTCACTACAGCTACAAGACCGAGAATGGTTCTCATAACCCCCTGTAAAAAAATATTGCAAGATAGACATGATGCATTGAGTAAGGAAGTGCAATGGATGTTTTTGGGAAGTATCAAGTCTTCATGCTTTCACGTTCGCATTATGTTTTTGAACAGTGGTCTCAAAATGAGAAATTGAGTAAAAAAGAGAATGTTTCTTAAAAGCTATTGGTATGAGGTTGATGCAGAAATAATGTTCGTGGCTTATGCAACATGGCATATGAATATAGAAAACTATGGACGGGACACCGTTCGATAAAATGAAGCAAGCTCTATTAATTGCCAAAAATCCGTCTAATTGGAGGTAAATTTTGAAGCCGAAATCTGTGAGCATTTGACTACCCCGAAAGGTGGGATCTTTTCCAGGGAAATAGGAGCTTCTAGTTGGTTATCAAATAGAAGATATGTAGTAAAATTCGTACATGCAATTCCTTCGATTTTCTTGCTTAAAATTTCAAAAAACGATAAACGAAAATGGCAAGCTCTGCCCCCCCACAATTCATACTTCCAAACTTAGGAGAAAATTTGCGGGCCTTGGCAAGCATAACTGTGATATTACAGCCTGCTTCTCGAAAAAATCAATTTTAGCATCATGAACCTGTAAGCCATAATTTGTTTCTTAAGTACATCAAGAAGGGATGTATTCATGTGTTATAGAAAAAAACCTATTTGTTCGTTTTGGTTTTGGGTTGCAATATGCAGGGTGTGTCAAGAAGGAGCTCATTGTTGGACCGTTGACAGCTTCTTTATTTCAAGAAGCCTTATATGTTTTCTACTGCAGAGCATGCTAACGCATATCCTACTTATTCCCGCGGCAGTTTATCTAGAAAAGTTTTGATTTCTATATTTCAAAAAACTTTGATTCAAGCAAGGCTCATCAAAAATCCAAGGGTGGGACGAGACAGTCATGGATAGGTTAACGTTCCTTTCTAGGTGAACAAAATTTATGTTAGTTTAGACCAGAAGAAGCCATGGATTTTACGAAAACAATGCAAAACAGCATAGTTAAAGGCAGCGTCCAGGCAAATGTGGACATATGGGATCTTACCTGGACAGTAAGTCTGGGACTCTCACTAAGACACTGCCCTATCGGCAGCTCAGATGCTGTCCTAGCTGCTGAGATACACGCCTCCAAACTGGACCCCAGAATCGTATTTCGCATGGATTCATGGCGCGACACGCGTAGTCTTCGCGCGAAACTGTTGTGTTGCGCCATGAATCCATGCGAAATACTATCCTGTGGCCGTATTCATCAACGAACCCTGAGGGTTAAGCTTACCCTCCAGGGTTAGTTTAACCCTCAGGGTTCATTGGGTATTCATCAACCATAGGCTAGGGTTTACCACGGAACGCGATCTACCCGTATCGATCAACGAACCTGTAGCTATATTCATCAACCCTAAGGGTTAAACTAACCCTGGAGGGTTAAGGCGTCAGGTACGCGCGCGCTGTGCAAAACACAGAATGCCTAAGTACGGGCTAAATTCACTTTATACTTCTATTCTTTCACTGTTATAGTAGTATAGTCAACGAATGAGCTTCTAATACTAGTTTTTATAATACATCTCTAGCATACTTGTGCAGCATCCAATATCACAGCGTGAGTTTATTTTCATGTGTGCAATTGTGCAGTGTAAGTTCTATTTTTGCGCAGTTCGTTTTATACCGGGCTTGTGCTACTCCTTTAGGGGTCAACGCGTGTTATTATAAAGGGGTTCTTCTGTTTTGGCACTTGTCAGAATGGAATGCCATTTTTCCTCGTCGCATTCATTTGTAACCAAAGCTAGAATTCTTTTTCTCGCAAAGTCAGTGTTTCCTGTATTTCGAATATGAACATAAAACAAAGTCGAAACTAAATACTATAACAACAACCAATACTAAATACTACAATACTCGTAGATCAATTTCCATAAACTGTTAGATGCGAGCAAATGTTTGCATGAAGTGTGAGGGTAGAGTTGACCTTGCTCTGAGCTAGGGTTAAATTAACATTGATGAATCACGTAAGTTTAACCCTCCAGGGTTAGTTTAACCCTCACGGTTCGTTGATGAATACGGGTTAGTCGCTTTCGGGGTAAAATTAACCCTCAAGGTTAGATTTAACCCTCAGGGTTAAGCCCACCCTGTGTTTCATAAATACGGGTTAAAGGCTTTCCAGGGTTAAACTAACCCTCCAGGGTTAGTTTAACCCTCGGAGTTCGTTGATGAATACGGCCACTGGAGTCCAGTTTGGAGGCGTGTATCTCAGCCGTTAGTGAGTCACTTGCGCTGCCGATTGGCCCGTAACTTAATTAGGGCTCCAAAATTACCTTGCACGTAAAATTCCCATAGGTCCACTTTTGCTTGGACACTGCCTTTAATGTTTTTCATTTTCCTTCAAAACATAACCTTCCTTGGAGATTCAACGGCACAAATTTTGCTTAGTCAAAAAAAAGAGCAATCACTAATTATGACTGTTTCGGTTCTTGTTCAAGGTTTTTAGTCTTATTTGTTTAAGGTAGCCGAAAATTAAGTGATCTCTTCCTGCATCTTTATTTCTGCAACCTGGTCTAACTAAGAGCACTCAAATTAGCTTCACAAATGATAAATTTTCTCTCCAAAAGAAATTTTATGAATCAAATTAGATAGAAAGTGTATATTCATCAGAAATATTGTGAAGGGATTCACCAACTCAATAGATTCTGCATCAAACAAGAAAAGTTACTGAACTGGTCAAAGACGTACTCGCCATCCATACTTGATTTTGTGCTGGATCCAGCTTAGAAGTTACTCTAAGCGTTGCGCAATGCCGTCATTCTGGTGGCGCAAATGTTGTTTACATGCAAGCCACGGAAGCGTATAATGATCACAGTTAGGAACAGCTTATATAAAAAAATTTTAACCAAGACTGTACATTCCATGAAACAAAGTCAAATGTTAGTGAAGAATGAATAAACCTTTTTTGTAGCGGAAAAGGACCTTTGATAACAACATCATTTTCGACATCGGATTGAAGATTAAGAAACTTGAATGAAACTGAAGATATTTATTCAGATTTTAAAGCGGATGGACAGGCACAATGGTATTTGGATAATACGTAGGTGTAGCAAACTCCTAAATGTCAATGACAGTTGCTCATACATTCACCGGAGTTTTCTGCTTTTCTTCATGTGCAAACGAATGGTTTGATTCACATACATTAGCTGCGTAGAATAACAAGAGCGGTAACGTGAGGGTATAAGAAATGTAAACGGTTGCAGATGTACACACAAAAAGTGTCATAGAGTAACGAAATTGTGGAAGCCATATCAAAACATTAGGGACGAGAAAGATTCCATGTGCACTTTATTCTCTTCTTTTGCTGGTGAAGAACTTTTTGACACGATTTTGTGCATTTTGCCTGCGAAAACCAAATTCTAATGTGTAAATTTTTTCGACATGTTTCTATTTGAACATTTATTTGTAAACCACCAGATGTAAGTGTCCGTAGAAGTAAGAGCGGTGAAGAACAATATGACAATTGATACGAGCTGCGGCTACATGTTATGTGTAGACATGCGTGATCGTTGCAGATGTCCGTGCAATCCTTCCTTTTCGGCGACACATAATTTCTTCTACCCAATTAGCAAAATCTGCTACTGAGAAATACTCAACAGAACTTGAAAACTTGAACATTTGTGTGATATAATAAAGGCATAACGTAAAGAGTTTCAAAATCACTTTAGTGTAAATACGCACTTACGTTTGCGCTCTTTAGGCAGTTTTCAACAGTGTTTTCATTTACTTGTTAACATTTTTTGTTACTTGTTTTTACTATTTGTTTTTGTTTGTACTTTGTTGCATCTGATTGGTTCTCTTTTCAGCTGCCCGCCATCCAGTCGTCCTTGTTCAATTGAATATCTTTGGACAAGCAGTCTTTGGCCATTTTCGTATGCTTGAAGCTGTAAGTGCGGAATAAGCATGATGGATAAGTTCATGCGGAAACGCTCTCTGCATTTCATTCAAACAATCATTGTTAAAGGCAATGTCCAAACAGATTTGAACTTTCTTAGCAACTCTCATAGCCGATATATCCTCGATATGAAATTACTGCATAAACCCGGCTTTAGGATTTCATACTAGGATTCCAAACTCCTCGTATGAAATCTTCTCAGTCCTTTACGCGTGTTCAAATGACAACCACAAAATAAATTTGGGATTAGCGCCATGAAAAGGGTGAATAAGGCACAAAAATAGTAATTGAGAATCTGCCCGGACGTTTTTTTTTTGAAGATAAGCTTCATGACAATGTCTACATTGTGCATACAGGAGAGGTGTTTGTCAAAGATGTAAAAATTTTGAGTACACATACCTCAGCTGAAAAAAGAACAGACGGAAAAGAAAAAGTTGGGCAAATATCTTATTAGCTAAATATCAAGCTCTGCAACAAGGAGGGAGGCTTTTTTGTTTGAGCACTCTGTACAGTGTTTAGCCATTTTTTTAAATATTCAGTCAAATTCCATGATTTCCTAGGCCTTGTGCTTACTTCATGCACTGACTTCAAAAAATCAAGCTGCTTCCTGAATACGAAAGACTCTCCAACGAAAAATATCAAGGTAGTGCTTTCAGCTTTCCCTCAGTGCCACTAGATTATCTCTTCACTGTCTTTTTCATTTACAAGTTTCTCAAAGTGGTCTCACGCAGAGCAACCAAAGCCTACTGTTAACCCAGATGAATTGTTGTCTCTCTTTTATACAAAAGTTCTGCCTCTTCCAGCTCTCAAAGTGTCACTGAAACATCTACCTTCAGTTTAATGATTAAAGAATTTGCAAACTGTTGATATACATGTAAGCATGTCTCCTCTGTTTTTGCACGTGCTTAGAATTGATTGCAATTTCAGATTAGATACACGCTAAAGATTTCTCAAAACTTTATACAAAAAAGTTTTTCACATACTATTAGGTTGTCCGGAAATTAATGCAGGTTTTGATTTCCAACCGCCATAAGTCATACATTTCTCTTTTTAAATAGGTTGCAAA